TATATATATATGTGTATATATATATGTATGTATGTATATATGCATGTATATGTATATATATGCACATATATATATACTGTATAATATATATAGTTTAATATTTACAATATATACAGGTCTCTCTTGAAAATGAGTCCTCGTGACTCAGTGAGACTAACCTGTATGAATAAAGGTTGAATGAATGTTTTAACGTGATTTACTTTTAAAACTTTACTTGGAATACCTAAAAATAGTTTATCTTTACAGTGTAATTTCTTATCACACAATATCGCTGCTTTCACGTCACGACTGTATTACCTTCCACCTACTGGAAGTGGCCTGGCAGGTCAGTAGGTTTTGTGTTCAGCATAGCTTGGTGGTGTTACTAGAGTTGCTCTGACCCTAGTGTTGAAAGTAAAAGGGATCGTTGTCCCAAAATATTGGTCAAAATTGCACATTTTCTTATATGATCAACTCACAATAGAAATGTGTTGTTCAGTGCTTGTTTTGCAGCCAAAATGTATTGTATTTTGAGAGCATTATGGGTAGTGAAGTCATTGTGTTTGTGTTCTTTTTCTAGAAGAAACTGCTGAGGATGGCGAGAGACCTCCACGTTCCTCCTCCAGGGCTGCACTCAACCTGACTGACCGAGAGCTGACTGACAGCAAGAGGACTGACCGTGAGTCCACACACACGCTGTAAACACTCCAACATACAAACCACAACACTCATATAAGCCTCTCCTGTATTCCAAGTTATCGTTTATCTGTAGCTCTCCCTAAGATAAGACTCTTAACGTGTGTGTAACGTGTGAACGCTGCTCGCTAGCCGTCATGACCCACTTTAATCGTTTCCATCTGACAGATAGAGAAAGAAGAAAGCAACAACGAGGACAGAGGGGAGTGGAACGGAGAGGGAAAAGTTGAGTGTTGTGGATATTACCAGGCAATGTCCAGGCCCTAGATTATTTTTTAATCAAATCAGTTTGCGTGCTTGTAATTTATAAGCGCCTTGCATTAATCTTTTCTCGTTCTTGTGCCCTCTCCGATGACATATTAATTTTTCATAAGCGCAGGATTAGATGGGGGGTCGCGTATATGTTTTTCTAATATTGCGCTGCATCCCTGCAACCCTCAAATTAGATTTTTTTCCCCAAACAACCCTCCTGTATTTTTTTTCATTCTCTCCCTATCTTTTTCTTATTTCAATCCAAAACTTAATTGTTGTCCAATATGTGATCCTTTCACGTGCGTAGAAAAATAGCACTGGATAAAAACGGAAAGAGGAAACCTTTTATTCTACGAATGGAGAGGGTGCGTTGAGAAGGGGGTAACAATCCATACAAGATGGTGTTGTGTTATTTTGGGGAGAGGTATGGAGCCCTTTGCTGTGAGGCTGTGGTCACGATAGCTGTGGCTTTGTTATATTTGATTTGCCCAAATAAGAATTCATCTGGTCTTCTTATGTATGAGATGGAAATCCATGACTGGGAATGAATATTGCATGGGGTTTTTCTGCACCTTCTTTTTCTTCCCGCATTGCATGGGGTTCTCATTTTTTCTCCCTTTACCGTACTAATGTCTCCTTTTTCTTCTTCTTACCTCCAACCGACATACACACACCTTGCTATTCTTACTCTCTATCCATCTGAAGCTCCCTCCTCACCTTCTCTCCCTAGTATGCCATACCTAGCTTCATAATGTGAGGTTCAATGAGGCAGAAGGAGAGCTGAGTGAGGCTGGGGCCTATTATTTTAGCTAGTCGTCTATCTTTCAGCTCTGTCTTTCTGACAGCGCCGTCTGACCGACCAGTGGGGAACCACCCGTTCATGCATTCACCACTGCCGGTTACCACCAGTGTCATTTAGCATCACTGAACACATGCAAAACAGCAACAGCGACAGGACGTCCAGGTCCCTCGTACGCTGAATTGTGCTTTTGTGCCACGTTCGTGTGTTTTTGCGTGTGCTGTGTGAATGCAGAAAAGCTTGTTTAGCATCAGAACCATGTGGCAAATTAAACATTATTGACTTAAAGTGTCAGTTTTAAAGTAAGAAAACAGTTGCAGTGTTTAAAAGAACAATAAAGTATTTTAAGGCTAAGCCAGAGTAAGTGAACCCAACTGTTTTTGTTTCATTTATTAGGTTAATGTTAATATATCTGGTGGTTATGGGTGTACTATTTATTTTAAATATATAAATATATAAGCATTATATTAGTTGAAGCAATTGGCTTATGCAACAGAATCAGTAGACACATTTTTCAGTCCTTCACAATAAAAGTTTCAAACACGCACAGTGAGCGTTAACCTCGAAAACCTGTTTATTAGCATCTGAAATATGTTCAGATAGTTTACATTATGGATACTGCAGCCTAGAAGGGTTTAGACATTAACACAGTGTATGCACAGTATTTGAGACTCTTATTTTGAAGGACTGGAACTGTGTCACTGATTCAGCTAAAATACTTTATTTTGTTATCACAGTTCACTTGGTCAAAGTCAAGTCTTGACTTTTTTTTTCCCCTATTGTTTTTTTATTTAATAATACTTACACTTTAATCTAAAAATAATAAAAAACATAAATCTCTTAGCTAGTCTGGAATGCCAAAAATGGAAGTGCTCTTGTTTTATTTTGCATCCGGATTAAAAGTGGCTTCAGAAAGTCAAATTCCACAAAATGCAAAGGTCGTCCCGTTGCATTGTGTTGTTGTTCTGAAGTCTTGTATTTTTTAAGTAGGCACCTTTCCCTAAACCCAAATCTCAGACCAGCTTATAATATTTGACTGTGTGTGTGTGTGTGTGTGTGTGTGTGTGTGTGTGTGTGTGTGTGTGTGTGTGTGTGTGTGTGTCCATATGGAGATCTTCAGGAAAAGGATTACAGTGTGGCCAAGTGAGCAGTGTGCTTGTGCACTTCATCTCCAAGACCAAACTAGTTTAAACAAAGAGGGGGAGACAAACATGGATTAAAAGAGTTGGACAGAAAAAAAAAAAAATGGCTGAAAAAATAGAAGGGGAGGGTCTAGAAAAGACAGAACGCTGTTTTCTTTTGCTTTACTTACGTTGTCTTTTTTTTTTTAATCCAATGTCACTTTAGATTAATTATAATCCATGTTACATTTTTCATGCAAATGTTTTTGATTTGGATTACTTCCAGATAGCTTTGTGCTCTTTGTGTAGATGGCGCATGTCGCCACCATAGCTCAGGGGCCCACTTCTTATAAATAACCAACTAAACAAAGGCCGCGGCTCAGAAATGAGCCTGTCAGACAGCGTAAGGAAATTAGATATCTCTACCTGCTTTAAATTAGAAAAGGAAATTACTCATTATTCTTGCAGTCAAATGGTATCTGTTATGTTGTGTACCATTTTGTGTCGTTAGGGAAACAAATGCAGTCACATGCAAACAAAATCCTATGCTAAATATTCCATATTAGCTTGGTTATGGTTAGAATCATGTTTAGCATTATGCATGTGCATGAATCTTGCATATTTGCTAAACTTGAGAGCAGTAATGTGCTTCCTTTCTGGCTCTTCAAGATGAGATTAAAATATATTAAAGATATTAGCATGTTTAATTACAAGCCCGCAGCGATTCTTTTGTGCATGTGTTTTTCTTTGTAACGACAGCTTGTTGAATGTCGCTGACAATTTGTCAAATGTGACAAGGCCGTGCTCATATTTATCTCTCATTAGAGCACTAGGTGGAGATGGAAGCAAGAGGAAGGCGAGTCATTAAAAAAGCACAAACTATAGAAGACAGCTGCTGTTTAATTGCCTTTCTCTCCCCCCACTCTCCGTTTGACCATGTCTGTGCCTCTCTCCATTTTGTTTCTTCTACGTCTATCTCTTTGTGTACTTCCCTCCGGCTAGATCTGGGCCTGCTGAGTGCTTCGGTGGGAGTTTGAGGTTCAGAGTGTGTTGCTGTAATGTTATCAGGTGACCAGAGGTCAGCCTAATGCGTAACCCCAGAGCAGTGGGCCAGTAAATCATGCTGGTCTGCCCTCGCTGGCCCACTTTGGCCAGCTCTCCCTCCTAGATTTACTGCTCCGTAACGCTCGCCAGTCTGCCAAGGATCAGAAAAGCTAAATTGAATACTAAATCCAAGCCACCCAGCCCCCTTTGCTCTGTGTTTGTGGGTGTTTTTGTGTTTTCATGACATGAAAAGATAGGAATGGGATCGACTGTGGGATTGTTCTGGCACGGTTTAGAAACGATAAAAAAAAGCAATCCAAGAAGAAGAAAAAAAAATTGGCTTTTGAAAGTTCCTTTCTGTTAATGATGTTGATTTTATGTAAATGCATCGTCAGGAAGATGTGAAAATTCAATAATATACTTTCTCATGTAAAATATTAATTTTGTTGGATCACATTTTGAAATATTGTTGCAGTGTTGCTACTTTTCAGGTAAAACATCTTGTAGCTAAACTATACAATAAAATGAGATTAAAGAAGAGTGATAAATCTCTCGTCTTTAATCTCGTTTTCTAGTTCGTCCCACTTCTTCCCATTTTTTGCTCTTTTGGTTCATTGTGCTGCGCTTGTCTCCATTTGATTGTCCTTCTGCATAAGTGCAGCTGAGGTTGTGTGCTTGTGTGTGTATTTGCAGCTCTGCACATGCCATTGACAGTTGCAAATAAAGATGGGTGGTGTGCACTCCCCTTTCTCCCCCTGCAATGCAAAAGGGCTCGAGTGTCATAAATCACCTTTTGATTTATCTAATCAAGCAAGGTCCTGCTCCGTGCAGACATTTGTCATTGGTGGAGTTTCAAGAGAGATTCTGAGAAGTGGAAGAGGGGCAGTTGATTTTTTTTTATGTTTTACTCCCTCCATTTGGTGAACGAATGAACCGAAGGTGGGGAGCATAGGAAAGGACAGTCGTTAAATGTGTTTTTTTTTTTCAGTCTTAATGATCTTTCGTGAAATAGTTCTGCAAAATAGCCACAAAGAATAGTCTATCTTTAAGCTGCCTTTGGCCATTAAAAAAATCACAAATGGAAACGGCCACGTCCTGCACAGACATGCACTTTCAGAATAAAAGCATGCAGTGCACAACCCAAACAAAACTCAGCTGCTTTTACGTATTACACTAAACATTGAATGTGTGACAGATGTGTCGTAACATTCTCAATACTATTTGTGTATGTGTTCAGCATGCAGAGCAAGATGGTCACAAAATTTGGTATTGCCTCAATTTTCCATTGTTTAGCATATACTGCTAGCTTAAGAAGAATACCACGCACATTTGAGAGTTGTTGTTTTGGCTTTGAACGATCAAGGCTGGGTTGTGGCAGAAAGTGTACATGGTTACTTCATCACGTTATTGAGCCTGTCTTACCTGTTCACATCAGTCATTTTCGATCTACTACCTCACTTTGCGGCACAATAACACTTCAGGGGTGGGTTGGCTTCGACCCCTCTTGCTGCCTGGGTCGGGTCAAAAATCACATTGAGGCAGCCAGAAGGTGTCCAAGTCCCGGCTTGAAGTGTTTTCTGAAAGTGCCTTTTATAGACACAGGAAAATTCTTCTTTTTCTTTATCTATCACACATCCCCACGTTCTTTCTTGAGACCTTTTTACGTTTATTTGCTTTGTAGAGGGCAAGAATGTTAAACGGGTTAAAAAGGCATGTACCTATGTATGTATGTATGTAAAGTATTTATGTATCTATGTATCTGTGTATGTATGCAAGTGTGTATGTACTGTATGTATGTTTGTATGTATGTGTGTGTGTATGTATTTTAGGGCTGAACAATTAATTGCATTTGCAATAGTATTGCGATATGCTAAAACGAGATTTTCTAATCGCGTAGGCTGCAATTTGATTGGTCACGTGATCTGGTTATGTGACTTGCAAGTGAGCGGAGCAAAGCTTAGCAGGGAGCGGGAGAAGTCAACGCTGCGCTTTAACTGGTTTCACTATGACGTCAGGCTCGACAAAAACTGATTCATCTGAATGTTTGGTACCAAAGAGGAGCAGCACGTCCGTTGTTTGGAATTATTTCGGCTATAAAAAAGAAGATGCTACGCAACGACGTGTTGTGCAGAACCTGCCTTGCTGCTGTTTGTTGCTACCTCTCGAGGAAACACCACAAATCTTTATCAACACTTAAAAAAACACCAGGAAACCATTTTTGATAGTTGCACGGCTGGAATGTCAACAACCAGTGCTTCAACTTCAAAATAAGCAAAGTATCAGCCGACAGGGATCACTGACCGAACTGGTCGAAGGTATTACTCCGTATGAACATAATTTGAAACGCACATGGAAATAACTCGAGCAATAACGGAGTTCGTAGCAAAAGAAATTATGCTCATTAATATATCATTATATATCATATACATAATATCATTTATAAGCCTGGGTTTGTGGCTTTGGTAAACACAGTGGATAAGCGGTACAGAATGCCCTCGTGCACACATTTTAGCTAAGTTGCTGTCCCAGAGCTACACAAAAAATGTAGAAACTGTGTTGCAGCGGAGCTGAAAACAACTGAAACAGATTGATGTATTGTTTGTGTTTGTTGAAAAATACATGGGAAGAAGACATTGAAAAATAATTGCATAATAAATCACAATATTGAGTTAAAAAAAATTGCAATTAGAATATTTTCCAAAATCGTTCAACCCTAATGTATGTACTGTATGTATGTATGTATGTATGTACTGTATGTACTGTATGTACTGTATGTACTGTATGTGTGT